GAACCTTCTACCAAGAGCACCCACCAAGAGCAAAGATCCACCAAGAGCATCCACCAAGAGCAAAGCCGGCCTCTTGACACACACCCCAGAACGACCCAACAGGAGCCCAGCCCACAAGCCTTTTCAACCCCCTCTCACTGAGATGCCCACCTTTCCCATGGAACCCGTGACATGTTACAAACCCCCGTTGTTCAACTCAAGGGATGTCCCTGGTAGTCTCTGGCTAGGAGACTAGGACTGGTAAATCATGGACTTGCTTTTTCCATCTCTCCTGTTTTTTTTTTTGAGTTGGGGTCTCACTCTGCCACCCAGGCTGGAATTCAGTGACACAGTCGCAGCTCACTGCAGCCTCAGACTCCTGGGCTCAAGCGATCCTCTCACCTCAGCCTCCTGAGTAGCTGGGACTACAGACACACACCAACACATCTGGCTAATTCTTAAATTTTTTAAAGCCGGGCTCGGTGGTTCAGCCTGTAATCCTGTGCCTTGGGAGGCTGAGGTGAGTGGACCGCCTGAGCCTGCGGGTTTGAGACCCGCCCGGGCAACTTGGTGAGACCTCATCTCTACAATAAATAAAAAATTAGCTAGGCGTGGTAGCGCGCGCCTGTAATTCCGGCTACTTGGAAGGCTGAGGTGGAAGGATCACCGGAGCCTAGCAGGTTGAGGCTGTGGTGGCCGGGAGTGGCCACTGCATTCCAGTTTGGGCAACAGAGTGAGACTCCAACAAAAAATTTTTTTATGTAAAGACAAAGTCTTGCTGTGTTGCCTAGGCTGGTCTCGAACAATCCTCCTGCCTTGGCCTCCCAAAGTGCTGGAATTACAGGAGTGAGCCACTGTACCCGCCTTGACTTGCTTTTTTGTTATGTGTATTCCCAACTTTTATTTAGATTCACTAAACCTGTTACAGATTGACTATCCCTAATCCAAAATGCTCCAAAATCCGAAAATTTCTGAGCAATGACATGACACTACCAATGGAAAATTCCACACCTGACCTTACATGACAAGTCATAGCCAAAGCTTTGGATCATGCACAGATTAAATATTGTATAAAATCACCTTCAGGCTGTGTGTATAAGGTGTAGATGAAACATAAATGAATCCCACGCTTAAACTTGGGTCCCATCCTCACAATAGCTCATTATATATATGCAAATATTCAAAAATCCAATAAAATCTAAAATCCAAAACACTTCTGGTCCCAAACATTTCGGATAAGAGATACTCACCCTGTATTACCTGTGTAGTAAAACAGAAAACACAGTGAAACTTTTAAAAAATCATAGCTTCCACTACTGACAAGCATCCCTGCGGCCTGTCATATACTGCAGGCTGTCTGGTTAACGAACACGGGATGACATGGGGGCCAGGGCGCCCACCCACCCCCAGTACCTGAAGCGTCCGAAGCACGGCACCCCCAGCTTGTGGCTTCAAATGAATCTAAATGCCAAGAACATCTACAAAGCAGCTTCAGTGCATCTGTGCCTCGCCTACAGCCACAAATAGACATAGATGCTCTTCCTGAGGAAGGCCCAGTGGCTACCCTGAAAATTCCTTTCAGGCCAGGTGTAGTGGCTCATGCCTGTAATCCCAACACTCTAGGAGGCCAAGGCGGAAGGAATGTTTTAGTCCAGTAGGTCAAGGCTGAGGTAAGCCGGGATTATGCCACTGCACTGCAGCCTGGGCAACAGAGTGAGATCCTGACTCAAAAAAAGGAAGGAAGGAAGGGAGGGAGGGAGGGAGAGGGAGAGAGGGAGGGAGGGAAGGAGCTTCCCTGCTGACCCAGAAGATGGGGACAAGGCAGACTTGGCCAGGTTTCATCCACTGTCTGTGAAGAGGACAAAGGAGGGCAGGGCAGTCCTTTTGTTGGGTCCTGAGTCAGAAGCCTGCCTCTTTGATCCAGAACTTCTTGCAGAGAACAAGGACCCACAGAAGCTAGGGCAGAATGGCAGAATGGTAATGTTTGCATAGTAGGCATAATAAATACTCAGTGAATGAACTAAAGTTGTGTTTGCTCCCAGGGGAGGAAGTAGATAAATAAATCCCTCCTGCAGGCTAGAACGGGGAACAGGACTCATACACTAGCTCCTGCCCTTCCTTGGCATTCAAATGTCAAGGAAGGAGGAATAAGAAGAGAAACGTCCCTGCCTGGGGTTTCTGGGTCAGCCTCTGTCAACACGGTTCACATACAGCCAGGAGAACAGAGTATTAAGCAACTCACAGCAACAGGTCTGAAGGGAGCACCTTGCCAAAGCTGAAACTTCCTTGTTCTGAGAGTTCAGGCCCCAAAAGCTGATGCAACACCCCCAGATCCATTCTGAGACCACAGCTTGGAAGAGAAGGAGAAGGGCTATAGCCTCCGTCTCCCACCTGGTCTCACCTTCTTGCTTGGAAGTCCCTCAGCCACCAGACAAAATAGCCATGGATGTACAGACATGAGTACTCAAAAGCTCATCTCTGAGGATCAGAAATGAAATGGGCCCAAGGCGGGGGGCCAGGGGCCGGGTGGTCTGGAACCTGGAGTGGCAGCTGGAGTCCACCGCCCCAGGGGAGACGTCCCACGTGGCTGGGGCCCCGCCAGTCTCCCTGTGGGAATGGAGTTTGGGGCTGTGACTCACAGAAGACATTGGGTGAGAACAAAGCCGAAAAGGCAGGACTGACCTGGTGGGGAACAGGCCATGTACTGTCCCTAGAGGATATTACAGCCAGAGCCGCCGGATTCTGTCCTGGGAGGCAGGGCGGGCAGAGATCAGTAGACACTCACCAGACAACAAATTTCGTCTTCCTCCAGGGTGTAGAGCTAAGCTAACTCTACAGTAGGCAAGGGAGGAAGTGCCCAAATTCTAGTTTTCAGAAGGTCAGCAGAGGTGGGTGAAGTATGCAACTCCTAGCCTGGCCCACGAAAACCTCACACCTAGGGCATTCTTAGATACCTTGCCATCAACCGACCTGGAACCATATAGGTAGATGTGAGTGAGAGATAAATTCCTATTGTGGTGCATACTTATATCAAACTTTGAATATGGTCAATCTTTACTTGACAATTACATGTTTTTGTTTTGTTTTTGTAGAGACTGGGGTCTTGCTATGTTGCCCAGGCTGGTCTGGAACTCCTGAGCTCAAGCAATTTTCCTGCCTTGGTCTCCCGAAGTGCTGGGATTATAGGTGTGAGCCACCATTCCCAGCCATTTAAATGTTTTTTAAAAAAATTTCTATCCTGTTAAGCTACTGGAGTTTTGAGTGTATTTGTTATAGCAGTTCTCATTCTCCTCCCTAACATACTAGGAGTCAACCCTGAAATGTCCTAAGGCGTTAAGTAAGCTAAGCCCCTTTGAGAGTGAGTTTTCATTTCATTCATTCACGATTAATAGACGAAAACAAAAAATTCCAAAGCACAAACTCAGACCACCAAAAGACAACCAATAAACTCATCCAGAAAATGTTTTCCTAAAAAAGGAAACAAGTTAACTGGAAAAGACTAAAATGAGATTTTCAGAAAAATAATGGAAGAAACATACTTAAAGTAAATAAAAAAATAAAATAAATTGCTAAACAAAAATGAGTATTATGAATGAGAGCAGCGGATATGCAAGCTAGTGCCCGGAATACCTCATAGAGGGATGAAGAGAGAGAGGTTTGACATGACAATGGCTTAATTTCTTTTCCAGAAATAAAAAGGCACACCAGATATAAAACAGGATAATGAAAACAAAACTTCCCCTGCACACATTGTTCTCAGAGAGAATAGACAGGCTACCTGTCTGGAAGTAGCCATTGGACTGACAGCACTTTTGCCCTTAGCAACAATGCAACAAGTCTTGCTACTGTTCAAAGCAACAAGGTCAACCTACCATGTGTGACCCAGCTTAAACTAGGGGACCTAAAGACACTTTCACACAAAGATGGGCTGAGCTTCCCATCTGTACATCCTGTCTGCAAAAACTACTACGGGATGCACTTCGGCAAGGACAAAAACCCATGAGGCATAAGCAAAAACCAACAAGACAAACAAAACACTCCCTATACACCAGTGTTGAGAAATCTAATTTTTTGGCTTACTGTAAATATACATATTTTTTTGAGTTGGAGTCTCACTGTCACCCAGGCTGGAGGGCAGTGGCATAATCACGGCCACTGCAGCCTGGATCTGTTGGGTTCAGGTGATCCGTCTACCTCAGCCTTCCAAGTAGCTGGAATTTCAGGCACATGCCACCCTGCCTGGCTGTTTTTTGATTTATTGTAGAGATTAGGTCTCGCTAAGTAGTCCAGGCTGGTCTCAAACCCATGGTGGGCTCAGGCAATCTTCTTACCTCAGCCTCCCAAGGTGCTGAGATTATAGGTGTGAGCCAATGCGTCTGGCTTTACTGTAAATATTTTTAAAATAACTATTGTTATTTTTAGTAGACTGGGTCTTGCCATCTTGTTTAGGCTGGTCTTGAATTCCTGGCCTCAAGCGATCCTCTCACCTCAGCCTCCCAAAGCACTGGGATTACAAGTGATAAGTCACTGTTCCCGGCACTTATTTTTTTAAAGGTAAAATAATTCTATATAACATAGATTTTAACACAGAAACTAGCAAAGCGGCTGGGTGCAATAGTTCATGCCTGCAATCCCAGCACTTTGGGAGGCTGAGGCGAGAGGACTGCCTGAGCTCACCAGTTCAAAACCAGCTTGGGCAACACGGCGAGACCTTGTCTCTACAATAAATAAATAAAAAAACAGCTGGGTGTGGTGGTGCACTTCTGTAGTTCCAGCTACTTGGAAGGCTAAAGCAGAAGGATTACCTGAGCCCAGCAGGTTGAGGCTACTCTGACTCAAAACAAAAAAAAAGAAACCAGCAAAGGGAATTCAAAGTGGATTCAGACATTGGTTGAAACAAGTTAACCTTGTTACTTTACTAAAAGATCGAAAATGGAACCAGTAAGTCCCAAACCAACAGGGGGAAAAGGGAGACAGAGAAGGAGCTTGTAGGAAGAGGACACCAGGAAAAGCCAACTTACAAACTGCCCCTCATCAATGCCAATGACAGCCACGCCCAGGGCTTCCTGGGTCACATCCCGGAGCAGGCAGGCTGGCAGCGCCTCCATGGTGTTCCTGGGAAGAGAGAGCCAGAGCATGAGCAAGACAAGGGAGATCAAGGAGATCGACAACCACGATGCAGGGGCCAGGGATTGGCTACTGTGTTCACCACCCTCTACCTCCAAAGCAGGCTGCAGTGTTCCCCTTGTGCAGCTGTGAGAAATTAGCATCCATGGAAAGGGATCTGGGGAAAAGAAAGGCCCTTGTTCAGAAAGCCAGTTATTTAATACAAGTTCTTTCACTTGACACCTTGAACCAGAAATTTGCAATATCCAACATGAAAGTCAACCGAGACTCAAAACCTCTTCCCCACTTCCATTCATGCGGCAAACAAGGCTGACCTCTTCACTAGATGCAGTGCCAGGGCCCATGGTACGGGTAGAGCCAGTAAAGTAGCATTTTCATCTTTCTTTTTTGATTCGGGGCCTTACTCTGTCACCCAGGCTAGACTGCAGTGGCATGATCAGGGCTCACCGCAGCCTTGACCTTCTGAGCTCAGGCAATCCTTCCAGCCTTCTGAGTAGCTGGAACTACAGATACACGCCATCATGCCCAGCTAATTTTTTGGAGAGACAAGATCTCAAACTCCTGGGCTCAAGCAATGCCCCCATCCCGGCCTCCCAAAGTGCTGGGATTACAAGCGTGAGCCACCACACCTGGCCTAAGATATAATTTTTAAAAATTCTGTATTATTGGCTGGGCTCGGTGGCTCAGCCTGTCATCCCGCACCTTTGGGAGGCTGAGGTGAGTGGATTGCCTGAGCCCGCGGGTTCGAGACCCGCCTGGGCAACTTGGTGAGACCTCATCTCTACAATAAATCATAAAATGAGCCAGGCGTGGTAGCGTGCGCCTGTAGTTCCAGCTACTCGGAAGGCTGAGGCGGAAGGATCGCTGGAGCCCAGCAGGTCGAGGCTGCGGTGGCCAGGAGCGGCCACTGCACTCCAGTCTGGGCGACAGAGTGAGACTCCAACTCAAAAAAAAAAAAAAATTCTGTATTATTTTATTCAGTAACTTTATTGAGAACCTATCATGTGCCAGGCATAAGTGCAAAATATATAGCAAGAGAAGAGACTTTCATTGTAGCTCTTTTTAAATATTAGGAAACAATGTTCAATATTATTCAAGTAAAATTAAAGTGAAAAAGCTAGTAGCTGAAGAGCATGTTAGTGTGGTTCCATTTGTGTTCAAAGAACATAAATAGGCTCTATATCGTTTTTTATTTATAGAAATGTTCTGGTATGATTCATAAGAAAGTTATTACACGCTTTTTTTTTTTTTTTCAAATGATAGGATTGGAAATTCAGGAATAGTAGGGAAATAGCCCTTTTGCTTTATATTTAATAAAATTGTGAAAAACTTTTTATAGGCCGGGCTCGGTGGCTGAGCCTATAATCCCAGCACTTTGGAAGGCTGAGGTGAGTGAATCGCTTGAGCCCATGGGTTTGAGACCAGCTCAGGCAACTTAGCAAGACCTTGTCTCTACAATCAAAAATCAAAAATTAGCTGGACGTGGTAGCACGTACCTGTAGTTTTGGCTACTTGAAAGGCTAAGGCAGAATGATGGCCAGAGCCCAGCAGGTCGATGCTGGGATGGCCATGAGTGTGCCACTTCACTCCAGCCTGGGCAACAGACTGAGACTCCAACTCAAAAAACAAAACACAACTTTTTATGGAGGAGGAGGCCCAGGAAGGCAAAAGTGTCCAGGACCAAAGAACATCCTAACAGAGCCCAGGCAGCCCATCAGCACCAGACGCCAGACTATGAGCTTCTGCCCCAGCAGAGATAACCCTGGAACTCTAACCAGCAGAGCAGTGACCTGGAAGAATTCCCTCCACTTGGCTCCACCAGCAGATTCAAGGATTTCTCTCCAAGGTCAAATGCCTGTTAGCTGCAGAGCCAGGATACCACTCGTCTGATTCCAGAACTTGCATGTGTCCTCCAGGGAGAATCTCACCCGGCAGGGTTTGAAAGTGAAAAACTGTGTGTGGGAATGTTTCAGTGCCACGAAGTGATTCTCTGGACCCCATCCTGTAACCACAGCCAGGGCCTTTTCTGAAGAGGAATGCTGTGCTGTGTCCCATCTTTCTAAATAGCTTCTGTGTTTTTCTACGATGGTGTTTTATTCTGTCTCCATTTTTGCCTGCTCCTCTTGAACTAGTCTTCAGAGGAACAGGCAGTTTCCTAAAGGTTCAGCAGTGTCTAGCTGTATTTATAAAAAATAAAACACTTGACAACTACTTGGTATAAAAAGCATGAAACGATATTTTGTGCATTTTAAATTCCCTCTACCCCTCAAATAGACAAAATCATGTCTCTGCAAGGGCGCTCTGTCAATGCCGCCAATCTGTCCCTGGCTTCTGCAGTCCATGTTAGAGATGACTTGTGACACACGGATAGAGCTCAAATGTAATCCTGAATCTGGCTGACTCCAGAAGCTGTACTTCCAACCGTGGTACAAGGTCACCTCCTCTGCTTTCACTGTCTTCCCAGGATGCTCAGCCCATCCTGTGCACTGGACACCACATTTTGGGAATTTTAGGGAAGAGGAAGCAAACTTGGAGAAGTAAACAACAGCATCAGATAGCTCGGCCAGGAAGTGTCGCTCAAATCTCCACGCTTCGCTCCAAGTCCCAAGCACTCTCCATTCCACCACCCCTCCAGCTTGGGAAACACCACAGCTCCCACCCAAGGCCACACACTGGGTGGATCTGTTCTCTGGACAGCCAATAACAATCCTCAGGTGCAGGTCCTATGTGTCATACGGTACAGCTTTGGTACTAGGGGCTCAGGTGGACAAATCCAGAGAACAGAAAAAAAGAGTGTTAGGCCCGGAAACATCAGGCCCAAATCTGCTGCCAAGGAGCTGAATTTAACTCTTGACCTGAGGCTGCAGACAGAAATGTCTGAAGGGCTCAGGCAGATAAACACACACCTGGGAAGCGTTTTGACAGACAGCCAGCTAAGGACAGACAAAAATTAAACAAAAATTAATGCGCAGCCCAAACAAACCAGTTTGCAGCCTCTGTGTAGGCGGAAACTCTACAGCAGGGGTTCTCAACCACGGCAGGCACTCCTGACATTTGGGGCCAATCATTCTTTGTAGGGGGCTGTCCTGGGCAGCAGGATGTTTAGCAGTATCCCTGACCTCTACTAAAGGCCAGTAGCATCCCGTCCCCACTCCACGTGTGACAACTGGAAACGTCTCCAGACATTGTCTAACGGGGGACAAAAATCACCTCGGTGGAGAAGCACTGGGCTAGAGCTCAGTGCACGGCGAGTCCTAGGCTACCCAGCCAAGCATCCTGGAGACGTGCTGATTTGAACTGCTCTGTGCCAGGTTTCAGCATTTTTTTTTTTTTTTTTTGAGTTGGAGTCTCACTCTGTCGCCCGGACTGGAGTGTAGTGCCCACTACTGGCCACCGCAGCCTCGACCTGCTGGGCTCGGGCGATCCTTCCGCCTCAGTTTTCCAAGTCGCTGGAACCACAGGCGCGCGCTACCACACCCGGCTAATTTTTTGATTTATCGTAGAGATGAGGTCTCGCCAAGTAGCCCAGGCGGGTCTCGAACCCGCGGCCTCAGGCGATCCACTCACCTCAGCCTCCCAAGGCACGGGATTACAGGCTGGACCACCGAGCCCGGTGGCTTCAGCATATTAACCACTCCCACTAAAAGAGACCTCTAACGCTGTGTTCTGTGCCTTGTGATTTTCAACCGGCCAGGACGGAAGGAAGCAGCGACTGACCGGTCATGTGTGCAGAAGTCGTTGCTGTAGCGGACGTCTTTGGCGTACTTGATGACCAGGCATGTGTACTGGGCAATCTGGAAGCGACGAACCCGTCTCATCAGCTCCGTGCTGCAAAAGTAGAGGCTGGGGTGAGGTGGCCCAAGAGCAGGAAAGGAAGACCCCACAGAACAAGCCGGGCTCCCCATCGCCCTTTAGTGGTGCACAGCCTGAGCCTCACCAAAGCCCAGAAGAAGCAAGACAGAGCAGGCTGGGGATTACCAGCACCAGTGGGGCTGGAAGTCAGAGTTCTCCATGAGGAGGGTACCCAGGAATGGCCCTCAGGTGGTCCTGGGAAGGGTAGGAGGAGGGAGTTCCTCAGGGACAAGGTGAGAAAGGTGGACAGAGGCAAAGGAACATGCAGCGAGGACCCGCAGATTACATTCCCTAGTAATCTCATCCGAGTTCTTCCCAAACTTCAGGGTTTTTCCGAATTAACTTCACAAAGCCTTTGTGTACAGTGTCAAAAACACTTGCTTCTGGGCCAAAGAAGTCCAGCCCTGCAGGGTGCAGCGGCTCATGCCTGTAATCCCAGCACTTTGGGAGGCAGAGGCGAGGACTGCCTGAGTCCAGGGGTTCAAGACCAGCCCGGGCAACTTGCAAGATCTCGTTTCCACAATAAGTTAAAAAAAAAAAATTAGCCAGGCGTGGTGATGCCCGCCTGTAGTTCCAGCCACTTGGAAGGCTGAGGCAGAAGGATTACCTGAGCCCAGCAGGCTGAGGCTACGGTGGCCTTAAGCATGCCATTGCACTCCAGCCTGGGCAACAGAGTGAGACTACTACTCAAAAAACAAAAAATAAGAAGTCCAGCCCTGAGCCTCCTGAGCAAGGGCTGGATTGAGCCCAGGGATCATATAAGAATCACAGGGGGGCTGGGCTCAGTGGCTCAGCCTGTCATCCCAGCACTTTGGGAGGCTGAGGTGAGTGGATTGCCTGAGCCCGCGGGTTCCAGACCAGCCCGGGCAACTTGGCGAGACCTCATCTCTACAATAAATTAAAAAATAAACCGGGTGTGGTAGCGCGTGTTTGTAGTTCTGGCTGCTTGGAAAGCTGAGGCAGAAGGATTGCCAAAGCCCAGCAGGTCGACGCTGGGGTGGCTGTGAGTGTGCCACTGCCCTCCAGCCTGGGCAACCGAGGGAGACTCCAACTCAAAAAAAAAAAAAGAATCACAGGGGGATTACTCGGGGAGTGGTCACTAGCCCCACACTGTCAGGGAATGGTTCTATCACATCAGGCGAGCTAAGGCATGCATGGCTTCATACTCCGGTGTCAAGTGGCTATGTTTTCTCCTCCATATAAGGAAACAGCCACGCCGAAAGGGGCTGTTCAGACATGCCTGGCCCACAGTGGACACAACAGGATGCCGCCTTCCGAGAGGAGTTAGCAGGGCCTAAGCTGTGACCAGCTCCAGGAGGAGGCGGTGTCCACAACGGGAGGAGGGGCTTGACCTGGGCGGGCAGGGGTGGAGGCATCTCCTGGACAGAATTCCCGGGAGGACGAGTAATCTGGGCAGGAATCCAGAGTACCTTGGGCGGGAACCAGGCTGTGCCGGTCCTTCTAGAAAGAACTGAGGGGCAGCAGGCCTAGGAGGGGCGGCAGGGAAGGAGGACGGGCGCGGGGCTGGGGGAGGGTCGGGGGTTTGCGGGGAAGAGGAGGCCCACTCCCACGCTGCGAAGCTTTACCTCTTTCCTGAGAACATGGGCCCGAAGATGACCTAGGAAGAGAAGATGAAGTCACTTCGGCACCCGCCCCGCGCGGACGCCCGGACCCTCGTCCCCACCGGCCCCAGCATCCCCCATCCCCATAGGCCCGGGCCTCGCCCGGCTCCCGCACCTGGATCTGCCCCCGGGTCTTGCTGGGGGAGCCAGGCAGCACGGTGGGCAAGTTAATGCAGCTCATGGCGCCTCCGGGAAGCTGGCAGGACCAGGCACCCTCTGCCGCGGCCCCGCAGGACCCGCCGGTTCCCGCGCTGGCTGCATTTAACCCGGGCGCGCCGGCCAATCGCGAGCTGGCTTACGGGCCAGACGGGAGTTGTGAGCGCCGCCCGCCCTGTCGCGGGAGGGATTCGAGAGGCGCGCGGTGATAGGCGGGCTAGGGAAACCAGAGCGCCGGGCGGCTAAGGGGCGGGGCCTGGGCGGAGCCCCGCCCTCCGAGTATAAAAAGGAGGGACACGCGCCCGTCGGGCGGTAGGTAGCAGTATGGATGCTCTCGGTGTGGACCGCAAGGACGAGGCTCCCTGGAAAAGGATGTCTCCGGAGGTAGGCAGATTGCTGGAAGGGGCTGAGGGGCTGGGGCCACGGAGTTTCGCTCATTGATTAGATTTAAAGCTTAGAGGCCATCTAGGCCACTCCTGTGGGCTCGTTGAGCACCTACCGCGTGCAAGTCCCAAAGCTTGAGCACCATGATCTATTTTACTTCTCGCCACTGGCAGATTTTTTGTTAGCCTGATTTTTTTTTTTTTTTTTTTTTTTTGAGATGGAGGCTCATTCTGTCGCCCAGAGGGGAGGGCAGTGGTACAATCAAGGCTCGCCGCAGCGTGAGCCTTCCGGGCTCCGGCGTTCCTCCTGCCTCAGCCTCCTAAGGAGCTGAGACTGACTACAGCTGCTTGCCACCATGCCTGGCTAATTACTTGATTTGTGTGTGTGTGTGAAGGTGAGGTCTCTCTGTGTTGCCTGGGCTGTTCTCAAACTCCTGGCTCAAGCAGTTCTCCCACCTCGGCCTCTGCAATTGCCAGGATTACAGGCGTGAGCCACCATACTGGGCCTAGGCCGATTTTAAGGATAGAGAAAATTGAAGTCCTGTCTATGTTAATATCTGTAGAGCTGTGGGAAGTTAGGGGCCAAAGTTCCAGCCCTGGATGTGAGGTTATGCAATGTGTTTGGCTCTGTGCTTGTAAGTCAGACCCTGGAGGATGTAGAAAGGCCAATGTTTACTGCGGGGTAGTTGTGAGGGTTAGAAATGATGTTTGCAAAGCACACGGTGAGTACCTGGCGCTTGTTATGATTAGTATTTGATTGTAATTTCCTAACTAGCTTTTCTGCATTTTAGACAGTGGTTATTTCTCCAGTCTGAATCACATCTGAAAACCTGATGGAAGTTATGGATAAGGCTGGGCATGATGCCTATAATCCCAGCACTTTGGGAGGCTGAGATGAGAGGAATGCCTGAGCCCATGGGTTCCAGACCAGCCTGGGCAACTTGGCGAGACCTCATCTCTACAATGAAACAAAATATTAGACAGGCGTGGTGGTGCTTGCCTGTAGTTCCAGCTACTTGGAAGGCTGAGGCGGAAGGATCACCTGAGCCCAGCAGGTTGAGGCTGCAGTGCCTGTGGGCGTGCCACTACACTCCAGCCTGGGCGACAGAGTGAGACTCCACCTCGGAAGAAAAAAAAAGTTATGGATACGGGAAAATCTTTTTTAAAAAAGTTATAGATACAGGAAAATCTCATATTCTCTCTCTGTCTCTCTCCCTCCCTCCCTGTCTTCCCCTCTACACACACACACACACACACACACACACACACACACACACACACACTCTTGCCTACAGTATCCAGGGACTCTCAGAAACCGAGCACATTATCATAAGTAATAGCAATAAAGATGACGGAGCCTGGTGCAGTGTCTCATGCCTATAATCCCAGCACTTTGGAAAGCCGAGACGGGAGGATTGCTTGAGGCCTGGAGTTCGAGACCTGCCTGGGCAACATAACAAGACCCCATCTTTACAAAAAAAATAAAAAATAAAAAAATTTAGCTGGATGTGGTGGCTTGTGCCTGTAGTCCCAGCTACTCGGGAGGCTGAGGCAGAGGGATCTACACCTGAGCCCAGAAAGTCAAGGCTGTGGTGAGCTGTGATTGTACCACTGCACTCCAGCCTGGGCAGCAGAGTGAAACTCTGACTCAAAAATAAATAAAAATAAAGATAATGGTAGCAATCACAGAGTGTGCCAGGTGTGGCTATAAGCATCCTATAGGTAATAATCTTTACAGATTGTACAGCTCCAAGGACCTCTGACCAAAAGCCCCATTCATCAGGAGGAGGAGCCCACCCATAACTGAGTGGTTTGCTTACATGTGGTTCATGTACACGCCTTCTCACTTTTAATCTTGTAAGGCGGCTAGTGTGCCCATTCTACTGGTGAGAGAACTGAATCCCAGAGACTGAGTAGCTTGCCCAGGGTAAAATAGCCAGTAAGTTATGGAGGTTGGATGGTGTTTGTCTCCAGACTTTTGTGTGAGGCCCCCCATTCTTCAAATTTCCCATGATGATGGCTCTGAGCCCTTTCTCCAATCTGGTTCCTTGTTAATTTCTGCAATAAGTTCGAACATCCTAGCCTGACATTCCTGACCGTCCCTTTGCCAGCCGCAGCTTCCCAGCCTCACATCTGTGCATCAACAATCTGACTGGTCAACATTTACAAACTGATCTCTGATTCCTCCCTTCTCACCTCTGTGCCCTTGACTGTCCTGTGTCTTCCTGTGGTCACAATAGCACCCTCTCAGGGAAAATCAGCTCCTTCTCTTTAGCCATCACCTGGGCTGCCTCCTGTGATCTTAGCTGCTGTAGGAGTGGTGCCCGTGCTGACATTAACTGGACACATTTACGGGACCTCATCTCTCCTCTCAAGGCTGTTGACTGGTTAAAGGCACAGCTGTCAGATCTGAGGGCGTTGTCATTGTTGTATCTGATGCAGCTAATGGGAGCACCTAGTAGGGAAGAGTAGGGAGCAGAGGCTTGAAGGAAGCAGAGGGCATCTTCGAGAACCTGGGATATCACGGAGGGAGCTTCTAAGGCTGAGAGGAGCATCCAGGCGTGGGGGGGGGTCGGGGGTGCACACTAGGTTTCAAACGAAGGTCTTACAGAGTCCTGTGTTTGTGTTCCATAGGAGTTGGAGAAACAGTACCTCCCCAGCAGATGGGTCGTGCGCCTGGGACCAGAGGAAGCCTTGAGGACCTACACACAGATAGGAATCGAGGGTACTGGTGTGACCCATGTTGGGTGGCCTTTAAAGGGAGGGAAGCAGAGCTGCGCTACCTGAGCCTGGAGGGGCACTTACCAAACACTAGGTACTCTGTAAGCCTCCTCAGCTCAGGGGCAGGTGCCCAGGACCCTTTGCTACAGGAACTGATGAAGACAGGGGAGGCCTATGGCTCAGGACCTCCATGCCCAGGCCCAGAAGATCATGTGCCATGGCTGGAGGGGAAATGCAAAAGGGAAGATATCTCCCCACCCCCGACCCCCAGCTGAATGCGGAATGCTGTTGCTATTTCTAAAAAGCAATGATGCCTTTCTTTAAAGAAATCAGAACTTGGGGACATAAACTCGTGGTGTCTTAAGGCAGATTTCTGTCTCTGCCCTGTGTCTGCAGAGGGTAGATACTTGATGAAGCATGGCGCTGGGCTGCAGAAGCAGCCTCGAAGGTGGAAGTGTGGATGAGGAAGCAGCCAGCCTGTGCACTCAGTCGGGAAAACTGGACGTTGGTGAATCTGCTTTGTTCCAACAGGCTGAACACTCAGCCTTTCGGAGAGCACCGCCTGGGCTCCTAGGCTCGGTGGATTTCTAAACATAGATAACCCAGAAGGAGAAACAGGCTTGTTGGAGGTTTGTTGCAGCACACTCCACCATTCTCCTTGTCCTCGTAGATTGGGATGGAGCTGCTTCCTGGACTCCTCAGGGTTTCTTGCTGTGCTCAGCTCTGAGCCAAATACACCTCTATTTGCTCCATAAATATGTGGGTATGTGTTCAAATATGCATGAGCTTAAAGAAAACCTGTTTGCCTCTTTTATTTTAAAAAATTTGTTTTTTTTAGTTGGAGTCTCACTGTGTCGCCCAGTCTAGAGTGCTCGACTTGCTGGGCTCCGGTGATCCTTCCACCTCAGCCTACCAAGTAGCTGGAACTACAGGCGCACGCTACCACACCTGGCTAATTTTTGATTTATTGTAGAGATGAGGTCTCGCCAAGTTGCCCAGGTGGGTCTCGAACCCGCGGGCTCAGGCAGTCCACTCACCTCAGCCTCCCAAAGGCGCGGGATTACAGGCTGAGCCACCGAGCCCGGCTTGTTTGCCTCTTTTAAATGTCTTGTGAAATAAAAGACCTGACCTCATTGAGAAAGGGAGTCAGATGTAAAAGCATTGAGCTATTGAATCTTCATCTCAGGTGACTGAAAAGTAAAATAAGAAAAATATTTTTTAAAAAAAGCATGAAAGGCCAGTGAGGTGGCTCACACCTGTAATCCCAACACTTTGAGAGGCCAATGTGGGAGGATCAGAATTCAAGACTAACCTGGGCAACATAGTGAGACCCTGTCTCCAAAAAATAAATGTAAAAAAAATTGTTTATTAAAAGCACAATCTAAGAAGAGTGTGCTGCCCAATGTGTTCAGAAACTTTTTAATACTCTCTCTCAGTCAGGTGTGGTGGTTCACATCTGTAATCCCAGCACTTTGGGAGGCTGAGGTAGAAGGATAACCTGTGACCAGGAGTTCAAGATCAGCCTGGGCAACATAGCGAGATTCTGTCTCTTTAAAAAGAAAAAAAAAAACCTTTTTTTTCCTGAGGTTCCAATAGACCTGGTGGTACTACAGGTACAACTAACCCATTTTATAGGTGAAGATCACAAGCCCGTGACAGGCCAAAGATTAGGGCAAGGTGAGTGAGGCAGCACTATACACATATAGGTTGGAGCCTGTCTCTATTTAAAAACTTGACATTTTATTCATCATAGATTTTGGCATTAAATTTGGTTTTTAAAATAGTGCAATGAAATATTATTGATTTTTTTTTTTTTTTTTTGAGTTGGAGTCTCACTCTGTCGCCCAGACTGGAGTGCAGTGGCCGCTCCCAGCCACCGCAGCCTCGACCTGCTGGGCTCCGGCGATCCTTCCGCCTCAGCTTTCCGAGTAGCCGGAATTACAGGCACGCACTACCACGCCCGGCTAATTTTTTTTGATTTATTGTAGAGATGAGGTCTCGCCTGCCCAGGCGGGTCTCGAACCTGCAGGCTCAGGCAATCCACTCACCTCAGCCTCCCAAAGGCGCGGGATTACAGGCTGAGCCACCAAGCCCGGCTATATTATTGATCTTAATAACTGAATTTTTTTTTTTGAGTTGACGTCTCACTCTTTGTCACTCAGGCTGGAGTGCAGTGGCACGCTCACTGCAGCCTCGACCTGCTGGGGTTAGGCAATCCTTCTACCTCATCCTTCCAAGTAGATGGAACTACAGGTGCGCGCTACCATACCCAGCTAATTTTATGATTTATTGTAGAGACAAGGTCTTGCCAAGTTGCCCAGGCTGGTCTCGAACCCTTGGGCCCAGGCAATCCTCTCACCTCGGACTTCCAAAGTACTGGGATTACAGGTATGAGCCATCGCCCCCGGCCATTTAGCTTTTAAAATGTGAACATTCTTCTCAAAGAAGCAGAGAAAAGATTTGCACTGATAGCTTTTCTAAAATAAATGCTCTAAGAAAAGGGAGGGCGTAAATGCTTTTCCTTTTTTGCGCCAGAGAGAATTAAATATTTTTCTTAGTTTTGATTCGTCCTCACAACATCTACCTTTGAACTTGCGGTGGGGGAGAATCTTTTCTAATGTGTGAATCATCTCCGTCCCTCAGCAAGGCCTGGCCTCCCTCATCTAGACACATGGGGCACAAAGTTTAATTGCTGTGTGAGTTTGAGCAGAAGAGGACTAGCAAAGCAGGGTTTTAAGAACTATTTCCTTCATCAGTAGCTTTAAACTTGTTTTTCCATGATCCTACTTAAAATTACATTTTACAATAAGCAAAATGTGGTAAGTATATTTTGTCCAGATGCAAAGTTCAAATACTGTGTATTTCATTTAAACGAGATCCCTAGAGTAGCCAAATTCACAAAGACTGGAAGTCGAATGGTGGTTGCCAGGGGTGGGGGAGGGAGGAATGGGGAGTTATTGTTTCATTGGGACAGAGTTTCAGTTTTGCAAGATGAAAAGTTCTGGAGTTTGTCACATAATAGCATACCTAATGCCACTGAACTGTACACTTTGAAATGGTGAAGATGGCTGGGCGCAGTGCCTCACGCCTGTTATCCCAGCACTTTGGGATGCAGAGATGAAAGGATTGTCTGAGCCCAGGAGTTTGAGACTAGCATGAGCACTTGAGGAGACATCGTCTCTACAATAGATCAAAAAATTAGCTGGGTGTAGTGGTGCGCACCTGTGATTCCAGCTACTTGGAAGGCTGAGGAGTAAGGATCCGTAAGAATCACTAAGCCCGGCAGGTCAAGTCTGCAGTAGCTATGATCATGCCACTGCACTCCAGCCTGGGAGACAGAGTGACACTCCGACCCCCCCCAAAAAAAAGGTGAAGATGGTAAATTTTATGTTATGTATATTTTACATATTTTAATACACACGCACATGTCTTGTGTAAACCACACTACATTACTTGATGCAAGACACTATTTTCTGTCCTATTCTATCTTATTCTATTTATTATCCCACTAAATTGTTTTGGCGAGCTCCAGTTTGAGAGCCTGGCAAGTCTTCGCCGTGGTGATGTGGGTGTCTCAGGCGTGCCCCATGGTGCGGCCAATTGTCCCCCAGTGGGAAGTGGGACGTTTGGGCTATTCTCCTCTGGGAGGCACTGGATACATTTGACATTCCAGTTTCTGGCTCCTTGGGCTTCCCTCCAGTGCCTCAGACTGTCCCTGCTTCTGCCGTGGTCCCTGCTGTGGCAGTTCCGGGAACCCCGCCTCTGAGATTCAGGCAAGTCCCCTAAATCAAGGCTTGGGGACAGTTCCTAATCCCAAGAAACTCAAACCACGCCTCGCTCCCAAGAGGACCAATCACCAGTGTTGGTGGGTGGGGCTTCGTGATTGACAGCCCCCGCCTCTACCGAGGCTCCTGGCTCCCTTTCCTGTATTCGCAGGCTAAGTGATTGGTTTTTTTCCTCTCAGCTAGAGAAATGAAAGAAAGAAAACAAAGGCGCACGCTTGTAAGCCACAATCTGTCTCAAACTGTGGTAAAATACACAACTTAAAATTTATTATTTAATCATTTAAAAGTGTACGATTCAGTAGCGCTCTTGTACATTCACAAAGGGCATTCATCAACACTGTGTAGTTCCAAAACCTCCTTATCACCTCAGAAGGAAACCCTGTACCCATTAGCCGTCACTCCCTCTTCCCCCAGCAAGCACTAATCTGTTTTCTGTCTCCATGGTTTTACCTGTTCCAGTTGTTTCACAAAAATGGAGACACACCAACATGTAGCCGTTTGTGTCCAACTTCTTCCACTGAGCGTGATGTTTTCAAGATTCATCCATGTCGTAGTATGTGCCTAATATTCCATTGTGTGGCAGTTCATAATTTCTTTACCAGTCAGTGGACAGTTGGGTTGTTTCCTCCACCTTTGGCCATTGTGACTAAGTGAACATTCTTGAACAAAACGTTCTGCCAAATGGCATATTTTCCAAATGCTTACTTTCACCTTTTGTACTTACATCATTACCACACCTTTCTTTTCTCTTTTTTTTTTTTTTTTTTTTGAGTTGGACTCTCGCTCTGTTGGCTCCCTGCAGCCTCGACCTCCAGGGCTCAGATGATCCTTCTGCCTCAGCCTTCCGAGTAGCTGGGACTACAGGTGTGTGCTGCCACACCCAGCTAATTTTTTTAATTTTTAATTTTATTTTTTCATGGGGACGAGGTCTCGCTATGTTGCCCGGCCTGGATTCAAATTCCTGGGCTCAAGCAATCCTCTTTCCTCAGTCTCCCAGTGGGCTAGGATTACAGGCAGGAGCCATGGTGCCCAGCCTTGTTATTACACATTAAGGAGAGAGGTTCTGCACAATCTGTGGTTGGCTATTGTTACCTAAAACTTTTTAGTCACCATTGTTTTCTGATTACAAAAGGAGCATATGCTTCCTGAAAAGGAGTCTTTAAAAATAAAGTCATCAGTAATTCTGCCACCTATTGTTAATGTTTTGGTGTGGTTTCTT